GAGTTAACTTACTGTAATTTGAGTTAACTTACTGTAACTTGAGTTAACTTACTGTAACTTGAGTTAACTTACTGTAGCTTGAGTTAACTTACTGTAACTTGAGCTAACTTACTGTAACTTGAGTTAACTTACTGTAACTTGAGTTAACTTACTGTAACTTGAGTTAACTTACTGTAACTTGAGCTAACTTACTGTAACTTGAGTTAACTTACTGTAACTTGAGTTAACTTACTGTAACTTGAGTTAACTTACTGTAACTTGAGCTAACTTACTGTAACTTGAGTTAACTTACTGTAACTTGAGTTAACTTACTGTAACTTGAGTTAACTTACTGTAACTTGAGCTAACTTACTGTAACTTGAGTTAATTACTGTAACTTGAGTTAACTTACTGTAACTTGAGTTAACTTACTGTAACTTGAGTTAACTTACTGTAACTTGAGCTAACTTACTGTAACTTGAGTTAACTTTCTGTAACTTGAGTTAACTTACTGTAACTTGAGTTAACTTACTGTAACTTGAGTTAACTTACTGTAACTTGAGTTACCTTACTGTAACTTGAGTTAACTTACTGTAACTTGAGTTAACTTACTGTAACTTGAGTTAACTTACTGTAACTTGAGTTAACTTACTGTAACTTGAGTTAACTTACTGTAACTTGAGTTAACTTACTGTAACTTGAGTTAACTTACTGTAACTTGAGTTAACTTACTGTAACTTGAGTTAACTTACTGTAACTTGAGTTAACTTACTGTAACTTGAGTTAACTTACTGTAACTTGAGTTACCTTACTGTAACTTGAGTTAACTTACTGTAACTTAAGTTAACTTACTGTAACTTGAGTTAACTTACTGTAACTTGAGTTAACTTACTGTCTTCTTTAAATGAAAACAGATATACAACTTAAACTATGATCAATTTCTCTAGTATTAAATAGTGTGTGAGCCATTAATTTAGTGTACCCATAATGCCATGGTATGATAATGGCTCTTCACTCCAACTCATTATTGTAACTACAAGGTTCACAGAATCTCAATGTAAAACTGCAAAGGAATAAAAATTATATTGTATTATACATGCAAAAAAAAACAATTTTAGAAACAATTTTCTGATCTTGATGGAAAAACACATGAAATGCAGTTGTTTTAAAATGCATTTTACTGCAATGTTGTAACACTCCGAAGTTTCAAGTGGAAATTATTGATCTGCAGTCAGATGACATGATGAAAAAGAACTATAAAGTAGGAAACCTGATCCAACTGTATAAATCTTTACATGACTCACGAAATCGTAATGACACGATTGCAAATAAACCATCCTACGGGCGGGATTTGAACCCGCGGTCAAAGAGTCTTAAAACTCCAGACCGTCTGTAAAAACTTGCATTTGTGGTCACAGAGGTGCCTGTGTTAACCTTCCTATGGTGTAGAAATATACCTAGTTGGACGAATCTTATTGTAGCTAGCTGGTCCAGTGACTAACGTGACGGTCTGGAGTTTTGAGACTCTCTGATCGCGGGTTCAATCCCCGCCCGTGGTATGGTTTAAATCTTTACAGCCTGAACAGTTTCTAAATTTTAAACCTATTTGCTTAGGATTCCTATCATATTTTGGTACAACGTACCTTTGTGAACAAACATTTTAAAAAATAAAGTATGTCAAGTCCAAATGTCGCACAAAATTATCTGATGAGGATTTGAAGTTCATTCTAATATAATAATTGGCTCCTCGAGTTTGAAACATTAATTCAGTAATATTTTGAAATTATAAACCAGTTCCATTATTCTTATTAATCTTGTGCAAATTAATCTTGTGCAAATTAATCTTGTGCAAATTAATCTTGTGCAAATTAATCTTGTGCAAATTAATCTTGTTTCATCTGCAGTTCAGTAATTGATTATACTGTCAGAACACTGGCTTAAGTTTGACATTTTTACCAATATATAATTTTTCAGTGTAAATACGGTATTGTTTCTTCTTAAATGTAATAATTTTCTTTTCTTCGGAATCATATCATAATGATTACAATAAACATCAAAATAAAAGTTATTCATTCATTTACATTTTCTTCATTCATTTATATATATTCCATAGACTTAGTTTTTTTCTTTGGTCTAAGACAGTGTGAAATATACATTATAACCCTTGTAGTGAAAAATTTGGAGATTTCTCCTATATATTTACGTGAATATACATATAATCAGACAAGAATACATATACATATATACACACAAGCACACAGTTGCATGTATATAAAATAAGAATATATTCGTTCAATAATACATATGAAGTGTCACATGTATGCGCATAGGCATACATACCCTAAAGAATATACGCAGTACATTCATACATAAGCACGTGTATACATGCATGATTTACGAATACATTGTTAATGTTTATTTTTCATTCACGGATATAGTGCTGGGCTTATGCAAAACTGGAATAACTTTCTTGTATCTCTCAGCGACCGAAATATGTCTAATTTAGGCTTTTGACTAATGACAAAAATGAAGAGGGTAGCACCTTGGGAACGACTCAGAAGATACAAAGGACCTTGGGAACGACTCAGAAGATACAAAGGACCTTGGGAACGACTCAGAAGATACAAAGGACCTTGGGAACGGCACAGAAGATAAAAAAGGACCTTTGGAACGACTCAGAAGATACAAAGGACCTGGGGAACGACTCAGAAGATACAAAGGACCTTGAAAAAGACTCAGAAGATACAAAGGACCTTGGGAACGACACAGAAGATAAAAAAGGACCTTGGGAACGACTCAGAAGATACAAAGGACCTTGGGAACGGCACAGAAGATAAAAAAGGACCTTTGGAACGACTCAGAAGATTCAAAGGACCTGGGGAACGACTCAGAAGATACAAAGGACCTTGGGAACGACTCAGAAGATACAAAGGACCTTGGGAACGACACAGAAGATAAAAAAGGACCTTGGGAACGACTCAGAAGATACAAAGGATCTTGGGAACGACTCAGAAGATACAAAGGACCTTGGGAACGACACAGAAGATACAAAAGACCTTGGGAACGACTCAAAAGATACAAAGGACCTTGGGAACGACACAGAAAATACAGAAGACCTTGGGAATGGCACAGAAGATACAAAGGACCTTGGGAACGACATAGAAGATACAAAGGACCTTGGGAACGACACAGAAGATACAAAGGACCTTGAGAATGACACAGAAGACACAAAGGACCTTGGGAACGACACAGAAGATGCAGAGGACCTTCGGAACGTCTCAGAAGATACAAAGAACCTTGGGAACGACACAGAAGATACAAAGGACCTTGGGAACAACACAGAAGATTCAAAGGACCTTGAGAAGGACACAAAAGATACAAAGGACCTTGGGAACAACACAGAAGATACAAAGGACCTTGGGAACGACACAGAAGATACAAAGGACCTTGGGAACAACACAGAAGATTCAAAGGACCTTGAGAAGGACACAAAAGATACAAAGGACCTTGGGAACAACACAGAAGATACAAAGGACCTTGGGAACGACACAGAAGATACAATGTTTGTAAGGATTGTGTGGTCTAGTGGTCTAAAGCGTTATGCGTTTTCTCTCACCATGAGGCGGGCCAAAACAGTATGGTTTCGACTCCTTGCCTATTGCAGTATTGAATATATAATATATAATATATATATATATATAATATATATATATATATATATATATATATATATATATATATAAATATATATATATATATTATATATATATATATATATATATTATAATATATTATTAGCAATTGATTAGGAATAGGGTGACAGGTAAGTTTATTTTTGCCTTCCTGTAGCAGGTAGTAAATTTTGTTTTGGGAGGAGACTTATTGCTGGTATCTCCCAGTATCTTGGATCTATTGTCTTGTGTCTCTCCCTGTGACAGCGAATTTGTCTTAAAGTAAATTATCCTCTAAAAAGAAATAGAAAGATGTTAACTTTTCTTTCAATTTTGTTAAAAACTATCATTTGGGAGCAATGGTAGAGTGTGAAGACAGTCCCATTAGCTAGTTTCCTTTATTTGTATCATTGTGGTGTGTTACCCATGGATGTTGTAGGACACTGGTTGTCATGGTGCTTTTTGGAAGTCATTGCTTGCATCTCACACAATCAGCATTCAAACAATAATTAACTAAAAGCCCGGTAGTTTACTGCAAAGGTGAATGTAGAAGTCACTGCTAACTTTAGAGAAGAGCTACGCTATTGTATAAGTCGACCAATCAGAGCAACCGGGTGGGCACCAAGTTAGTTTACTTTGTAACTAAAATTAGTCTATGAGCTCAGTTCCTTACTTGCTCTCAGCTGATTACCACACACAAGAGTTGTGTCCTCAGTATGAGTATATTATCCATATTCAGTGAGAGTAATCTTTATGATTCAACATTTAACAGTTCATGATTGCCTTTATTAACTGGCCTCGAGTTTTATAACAGGTATATCCCGGAATATGAGCCCAAAAAACTCATAATTACCCCCCTAAGTAAAGAGTGTGTCTATGTTGAAAAAAGTCAGTACTTAATGTTAATTGTTTTCCCAATGTATTATTTATGATACTGAGTGAATCATGTGAATGTCACTACTCTGTGAATATCGTTCAATTCCAGTAACGTTCAATATTGACTTTGTCCCAAGAATTCCGGATGAAAATCGAAGAAAAGTTCAGTTGTGTAAAGGTTTATTTATTTTAAAATATTTCCTGCTTAACCATCTTATATATTGTAAAAAATTAATTATTAAATGCACCTCAGTAGTTCAGTTTTATAAGATGTATTTTCTTTATTACAAACCTTTTTTACCCTCAAAGAAATTACCAAACATTAAGTTGTTATTTGTTATCGATTTTAAATACAACCTCAAATTTTTGGAATATGTTTTTAAACTTTTTTAAGATAGAATTTAGAGAAAAAATGCAAGTGTAATGGAATATATAGTTGAAAAAATGAACATTAATCTCTGTTTTCAAACTTACTTTGTGAACTTTTCAGGAAAGAGCGGAATGTCAGAGGTGAGAAACAATCCTGTAAGTGTCGTCCATGAAGCCACCTGCACCACTTGTGATCTTTGTTCACTGTACGGTAACACTATGTACATATTACACCTGAAACAGTAAGGTATCTGGTCATTCTCTGTTCAGCATGTCTGTAAGAATTTATATATACATTATATATATATATATATATATATATATATATATATATATATATATATTATATATATAATATATATATATATATGTACACACACACACACACACACACACACACACATATATATATATATATATATATATATATATATTATATATATATATATATATATAAATATATATATATATATATATATATATATTATATATATATATATTATGTGTGTGTGTGTGTGTGTGTGTGTGTGTGTGTGTGTGTGTGTGTGTGTGTGTGTGTGTGTGTGTGTGTGTGTGTGTGTGGTGTGTGTGTGTGGTGTGTGTGTTCTCAGAGTAGTGTAGTGCGGATGTGTCACCGTCCACGGTAACCGTGGCCGGTGACACTGTCTATACTACCACCTAATCTTGTGTACTTGTCCACTTATGATACAGTAACAGCTAAACATGTTAGATTGTATGCCACCATTCCCGACATACATAGCATGAGTTTGGTGCGTAGACACTGGTCGGACACCATCAAACCTATGATTGAACTGTTGGGGTATAATAATCTGGGCATCAGCCCTCCCTGGTGGATGATTACAGGAACTAATGTGGTTGAAGATAGCGCTCGACTCCTACCATGTCCTGATTGAGTATTTATGATGGACAATTCATGTTTCCAGAGGTTTACCTGTTAGACCAATATATGAATATATGAGAGGGAACACTGGGTACGTGGGACCTTGCAAACCCCACCAACTTTGTTAGAGAGTGTGTTTTTAATTAACCTCTGTTTCACTGTCCCAGTGTTCTTGATCATTTTTAAATACCTCACATAGGCATTTATATATATATATATATATATATATATATATATATATATATATATATATATATATATATATATATATATATTTAGATGGTATGAGTTTGCCAAAAAAATATTATTCAGTGGGTTGAGAAGGGGAAGTTAAAGTTGTTTTGGATATTTAAAGACGTTGGAGCAAAACTAAACGAGGATGTACCAAAGATTTGCAAAAGAAAGGAGCAGTAGGGATCATCCCAGGAAAGGTTCGAGGTCTGGGTAATGAGGTTTCGAGTGTTTGGGGCTTAGACATTCAGCAGATATGTTTGCTTCATTAGTATAAATGCAACAAAGCACTCATTACCTGATGTTTGCTGTGTCCTTTCTGAAAATAGCCAACACAGAATTCAGCTTTGAAAAGGCTGTGTACAGTTCCTGCATGTCCATCAGGTGAGAACGAGTGACGACCAGCAGCCTCGTCGACCACACCAGAAGGCGGAGTCTGAAGGACGACTGGACGAAAGCACATATGAAATCCGTGTTGTCACTTATTACAGTAACTGTCGTGTGTGATGATAGCTGCCGTAGCTGGTCATGTAGAAATTATTGTATCAGTCATCTCGTTAATTCTGTAAACATGTGAGGCTAACTTGGTTCTTCAGTTAGGTAACATTAATCATTCTTTTTCTAGTTATGGAGTGACCTTAATATTATTCTTATTGACCCAACTTATTTATCAAGTGCTAGAGATGATGAGTGTCCTTCGTAATATAGCAACAATATGAACATTACATCTTACCAACTAACCTTACAAACAACATACCCGCTTGACATTGTTGACCAAGAGTGAAAGTTGCTTGTCCATGTTGATATCCTCGCTGTTAGTTACAATTTCAAATACTCCAACTCCTCCTGGAAACCGGAGATGATCAATGATCTGAAATGGTGCTTCAATGAGTTAGGTATAATTGCGACTTGTTTGCTAGGTATAATTGCGACTTGTTTGCTAGGTATAATTGTGACTTGTTTGCTAGGTATAATTGCGACTTGTTTGCTAAGTATAATTGTGACTTGTTTGCTAGGTATAATTGTGACTTGTTTGCTAGGTATAATTGTGATTTGTTTGCTAGGTATAATTGTGACTTGTTTGCTAGGTATAATTGCAACTTGTTTGTTAAGTATAATTGTGACTTGTTTGCTAGGTATAATTGTGACTTGTTTGCTAGGTATGATTGTGACTTGTTTGTTAGGTATAATTGTGTTTTTTTCTAGATATAATTGTGACTTGTTTGCTAGATATAATTGTGGCTTGTTTGCTAGATATAATTGTGACTTGTTTGCTAGGTATAATTGTGTCTTGTTTGCTAGGTATAATTGTGACTTGTTTGCTATATATAATTGTGAATTGTTTGCTAGATATAATTGTGACTTGTTTGCTAAATATAATTGTGGCTTGTTTGCTAGATATAATTGTGACTTGTTTGCTAGATATAATTGTGGCTTGTTTGCTAGATATAATTGTGACTTGTTTGCTAGGTATAATTGTGACTTGTTTGCTAGGTATAATTGTGACTTGTTTGCTAGATATAATTGTGACTTGTTTGCTAGATATAATTGTGACTTGTTTGCTAGATATAATTGTGGCTTGTTTGCTAGATATAATTGTGACTTGTTTGCTAGGCATAATTGTGGCTTGTTTGCTAGGTATAATTGTGGCTTGTTTGCTAGGTATAATTGTGGCTTGCTTGCTAGGTATAATTGTGACTAGTTTGCTAGGTATAATTGTGGCTTGTTTGCTAGGTATAATTGTGACTTGTTTGCTAGGTATAATTGCGACTTGTTTGCTAAGTATAATTGTGACTTGTTTGCTAGGTATAATTGTAATTTGTTTGCTAGGTATAATTGTGACTTGTTTGCTAGGTATAATTGTGATTTGTTTGCTAGGTATAATTATTACTTGTTTTCTAGGTATAATTGTGACTTGTTTGCTAGGTATAATTGCAACTTGTTTGTTAAGTATAATTGTGACTTGTTTGCTAGGTATGATTGTGACTTGTTTGCTAGGTATAATTGTGACTTGTTTGCTAGGTATAATTGTGACTTGTTTCCTAGATATAATTGTGACTTGTTTGCTAGATATAATTGTGACTTGTTTGCTAGATATAATTGTGACTTGTTTGCTAGGTATAATTGCGGCTTGTTTGCTAGGTATAATTGCGGCTTGTTTGCTAAGTATAATTGTGACTTGTTTGCTAGGTATAATTGGGACTTGTTTGCTAGGAATAGTTGTGACTTGTTTGCTAGATATAATTGTGACTTGTTTGCTAGGTATAGTTGTGACTTGTTTGCTAGATATAATTGTGACTTGTTTGCTAGGTATAGTTGTGACTTGTTTGCTAGATATAATTGTGACTTGTTTGCTAGGTATAGTTGTGACTTGTTTGCTAGGAATAATTGTGACTTGTTTGCTAGGAATAATTGTGACTTGTTTGCTAGGTATAATTGTGACTTGTTTGCTAGGTATAATTGTGACTTGTTTGCTAGGAATAATTGTGACTTGTTTGCTAGGAATAATTGTGACTTGTTTGCTAGGAATAATTGTGACTTGTTTGCTAGGAATAATTGTGACTTGTTTGCTAGGTATAATTGTGACTTGTTTGCTAGGTATAATTGTGACTTGTTTGCTAGGTATAATTGTGACTTGTTTGCTAGGAATAATTGTGACTTGTTTGCTAGGAATAATCGTGACTTGTTTGCTAGGTATAATTGTAACTTGTTTGCTAGGCATAATTATGACTTGTTTGCAAGGAATAATTGTGACTTGTTTGCTAGGAATAATTGTGACTTGTTTGCTAGGAATAATTGTGACTTGTTTGCTAGGTATAATTGTGACTTGTTTGCTAGGAATAATTGTGACTTGTTTGCTAGGCATAATTGTGACTTGTTTGCTAGGTATAATTGTGACTTGTTTGCTAGGTATAATTGTGTTTTTTTCTAGGTATAATTGTGACTTGTTTGCTAGATATAATTGTGACTTGTTTGCTAGATATAATTGTGACTTGCTTGCTAGGTATAACTGTGTTTTTTTCTAGGTATAATTGTGACTTGTTTGCTAGGTATAATTGTGACTTGTTTGCTAGATATAATTGTGACTTGTTTGCTAGATATAATTGTGACTTGTTTGCTAGATATAATTGTGACTTGTTTGCTAGGTATAATTGTGACTTGTTTGCTAGATATAATTGTGACTTGTTTGCTAGATATAATTGTGACTTGTTTGCTAGATATAATTGTGACTTGCTTGCTAGGTATAATTGTGATATGTTTGCTAGGTATAATTGTGACTTGTTTGCTAGATATAATTGTGACTTGTTTGCTAGATATAATTGTGACTTGCTTGCTAGGTATAACTGTGTTTTTTTCTAGGTATAATTGTGACTTGTTTGCTAGGTATAATTGTGACTTGTTTGCTAGATATAATTGTGACTTGTTTGCTAGATATAATTGTGATTTGTTTGCTAGATATAATTGTGACTTGTTTGCTAGATATAATTGTGACTTGTTTGCTAGATATAATTGTGACTTGCTTGCTAGATATAATTGTGACTTGTTTGCTAGATATAATTGTGACTTGTTTGCTAGATATAATTGTGACTTGTTTGCTAGATATAATTGTGACTTGCTTGCTAGATATAATTGTGACTTGTTTGCTAGATATAATTGTGACTTGTTTGCTAGATATAATTGTGACTTGTTTGTTAGATATAATTGTGACTTGTTTGCTAGGTATAATTGTGACTTGTTTGCTAGGTATAATTGTGACTTGTTTGCTAGGTATAATTGTGACTTGTTTGCTAGATATAATTGTGACTTGTTTGCTAGATATAATTGTGACTTGTTTGCTAGATATAATTGTGACTTGTTTGCTAGATATAATTGTGACTTGTTTGTTAGGTATAATTATATATTTTTTGTGGTGTGTCAAGAACATTATGCTACAAAATATTTAAAAGAGTTATTGTTTAAGCAGGAAAAACAAATGCATTGACAAGTAAGATTTTGACGCACATGTTTATCACAAAATGTAAAATATATATGCAACAGTTAGGTATCCTCATTTTGGAAATTTTTGGCCTACGGAGAAGAATGTATTGTCGAGAGTAGGAATAGTAGCGAGGTAATGATGGCGTAATTAGTACATTAATCTTAGAGAAATAGTTGGAGGTGGTCAGTCCCTCAGTGTGGAGAAGAGTTCAGCACTTGTGTCTGTAACAGTATGAAGGTCAACAACGAGAATAATGTCTCCTCTCTATTTGGCTGGTTAAGTGAAATGCTTCAACAAGAAAGTTACCCAACTGTTGTTTGTGTGTCTTGGTCATCAACGTGTCAGGTGGCCTGGTGGCTAAAGCTATCGCTTCACACACGGAGGGACAGGGTTAGATTCCCGGCGGGTGGGAACATTTTGACACGTTTCCTTACACCTGTTGTCCTGTTCACCTAGCAGCAAATAGGTACCTGGGTGTTAGTGGACTGGTGTGAGTCGTATCCTGGGAGACAAGTTTGAGGACCACAATGGAAATAAGTTAGACAGTCTTCGATGACACACTGACTTTCTGGGGTTATCCTTGGGTGGCTAACCCTCCGGGATTAAAAATCCGAACGCATGGTTTGTTTACAATCGTGGCATTACGATTTCGTAAGTCTTGATGATAATTTATACTATTTTGAACGATCATGTTTATGTTGAAGGAATGGTACCGGGAAACTACTCGATTTTGGGAGGGAAATTTTTTTTCTAGAAATTACAATGTATAGATATTTTCTTGTAATTAAATTGATAATCCTGAAATTTAAAAAAAATAAAACTTTTTTCATAATGAATGACAATATGTTGAGTAACTTGCCATAAACAGAGTGGAGGATGCCATAGTGCCATCAGTGATAAAAATTACAGAGTAGCTGCCATGTGGTGCTTGGGTTAGTATATCCTCCACCACTTGTGTTGTCAGCTTAGCCTCCATCACACATGATGTCAGCCTAGGCTCCACTACTTGTGTTGTCAGCCCAGGCTCCACTACATGTGTTGTCAGCCCAGGCTCCACTACATGTGTTGTCAGCCCAGGCTCCACTACATGTGTTGTCAGCCCAGGCTTAGCCATCTGCGTCACTGATGATGCGATATGATGTTCAGCTGTCAGAAAGATAGTTCATATGTAATTACTGTAATATTACACACAAGTCTTCTACGTGATATTTAGTGTAAGAATTACTGTCTGTGCTTTCCTACAACCAAGAACTTCATGGTCGTAGTTGTACGTTCAGACAAGACTGAAGTAACTCTCTTGTAGTATTATTTAATGTCATTGTAGCTTAAGCAGTGTAATAAGAAGATAATGATAATTTCATAAATATTTTTATCAACTATTGTACAATTTAATATTGTTGTTAACTGTATAATATACAAGTTCCATGTGAACTTACAATGTCGAATATAATGAGCAAACTAAGATGCAAATTGGCATAAAAATATTCAGATCTGAGCACACACACACACACACACATAACACACACACACACACACACACACACACACACACACACACACACACATACACACACACACACACACACAAACACACACACACACATACACACACATACACACACACACACACAAACACACACACACACACACACTGATGCAGTTATGTATAACCCACCACAGAACAGCAGGAGGCCAAGGCAAGTGTATGATGACAGTAATAGAGCGATGGTTGACACACTGGCTGCAGTGGCCAGAAGGGCTCATGCGTGCAGGGCAAAGCTACTGATCATGGGTGACTTCAACCACAAGGAAATCGACTGGGAGAACTTGGAGCCACATGGTGGCCAAGAAACGTGGAGGGCTAAGATGATGGAGGTGGTACTGGAAAACTTCGTGTACCAACAGGTAAGGGACACTACCAGAGAGAGAGGAGAGGATGAACCAGCGAGACTGGACCTAGTATTCACCTTGAGTAGTGCGGATATTGAGGACATCACATATATTACTCTACAAGTGGAGGGGGAACAGGAAGAGCTGGACGAATGCAGCCAAACTACATGAAGGGGGACTACGTGGGAATGAAGAACTTCCTGAACGGGGTTTAGTGGGACAAAGAACTGGCAGGGAAGTCAGTAAACGAGATGATGGAATACGTGACAACAATATGCAAGGAAGCTGAGGAGAGGTTCGTACCCAAAGAGTAACAGGACGGATAATGAGAACCTTCAAAACTAGGACGCAAGCCCATGATGATTCTCTTCAAATCGCTTGTGCTCTCTAGGCTAGAATAGTGCTGTACACTAACGGCCCCCTTCAAGGCTGGCGACATTGCAGACCTGGAGAGTGTACAAAGAACTTTCACAGCACACACAAGTACTATAAGGCACCTAAATTACTGGGAACGGTTGACGGTCCTTGATCTGTATTCCCTGGAACGAAGGCAAGAGAGATACATAATAATATACACTTGGAAGGTCCTGGAGGGATTGGTACCAAACCTGCACACGAAAATCACTCCATATGAAAGCTAAAGACTCAGCAGGAGATGCATCATTGACCCGATGAAAGGAGGCTTGCCACGAGTACTACATTGAGAGACAACACTGTAAGTGTCCGGGGCCCAAGACTGTTCAACTGCCTCCCAGCATACATAAGGGGGATTACCAATAGACCCCTGGCTGTCTTCAAGAAGGCACTGGACAGGCACCTGATCAGACCCTGATCCACCATGAGGCCTGGTCTCAGGCCGAGCCGCGGGGGCGTTGAACCCCGAAACCCTCTCCACGTAAACTCCAGTAAACTCCAGACGAGGACCAGACAGAACTACAAAGGGATCTGGACAGGCTGCAGGTCTGGTCCAGAAACTGGCTCCTGGAGTTCAATCCCACCAAATTCAAAGGCAAAGAAAACCGCAGACGGAGTACACTCTATGGGGCCAGAGACTACAAACCTCACTTAAGGAAAAGGATCTTAGGGTGAGTATAACACCAGGCACATCTTCTGAGGTGCGCAACAACCAAATAACTGCTGCAGCATACGGGCGCCTAGCAAACCTCAGAACAGCATTCCGACATCTTAATAAGGAATCGTTCAGGACCCTGTACACTGTGTGCTTTAGGCTTATATTGGAGTATGCAGCGCTGTTTTGGAACCCATACCTAGCCAAGCAAGTACGGAAATTAGAGAAAGTACAAAGGTTTGCAATAAGATTATTCCCGGACTAATGGGTATGGCCTACGAAGAGAGGTTAAGGGAAATCAACCTGATGACACTGGAGGACAGGAGAGATGGGGGATATAATAACGACATATAAAATACTGAGAGGAATTGATAAGGTGGACAGAGACAGGATGTTCCAGAGATGGGATGTGATGTAGAGGAGGTAGGATCCATACATAGCTTTAAGAGGAGGTATGATAAAGCTCATGGAGCAGGAAGAGTGACCTAGTAGATACCGGTGAAGAGGCGGGGCAAGGAGCTGTGATTCGACCCCTGCAACTACAACTATGTGAGTACACACACACACACACACACACACCACACACACACACACACACACACACACACACACACACACACACACACACACACACGGTGAAGAGGCGGGGCCAGGAGCTGAGTCTCGACCCCTGCCACCACAATTACGTGAGCACAAATTAGGTGAGCACAAATTAGGTGAGCACACATACGCACACACACAACCAAGGTGGACAAAGACGGGATGTTCCAGACATGGGACACAGAAACATTTGGTCACAATTGAAAGCTGAAGACTCAGATGAGTCAAACGGATGTCTGGAAGTATTTCTTCAGTCACAGAGTTGTCAGGAAGTGGAACAGTCTGGATGGTGATGTAGTGGAGGCAGGACCCATACATAGCTTTAAGATGAGGTATGATAAAACTCATGGAGCAATGAGAGGAGGACCTAGTAGCGACCAGTAAAGAGGCGGGGCCAGGAGCTATGGCTTGACCCCTGCAATCACAATTAGGTAAGTATACAGTGTATATTACACACACACACACACACACACACACACACACACACACACACACACACACACACACACACACACACACACACTCACACACCACACACACACACACACACACACACACACACACACACACACACACACTCACACACACACACTAGAGTATAAGGGGCACATGATAACGACTTATTAAATACTGAGAGGAACTGACGAGGTGAACAAGGCCAGAATGTTTCAGAAATGGGTTACAGGAACAAGGGGACATGACTGTAAGTTGAAAACTCAGGTAAGTGGGACTCTTAGCTAAGGCCAAGTCAGGTAAGTAATACAGGTCAGATAAAACAGCTATGTTTATATCTGACGTTGGCATTCCACGGTCCATTGAAAGTGATCAAGGTACTAATTTCACAGCCAAAGTATTTAGAGAGCCTTTAAACCGGCCATGAATTAAACAAAAGCTATCCATAGTTTTTCATCGTCAGTCCCAAGGCGCCTTGAAGAAGTTTCACCAAGCCTTAAAAAGCTATGATGCGTTCGTATTGCATACATTTTCCTACAGACTCTTTGCATTGCGAGAAAGTTTCCAGGAATCAACAGGATACAGTCCTATTGAGCTGATTTTTATGCATAATGTAAGAGGAAGTAGCGTTTCTGCTATAAAATGGAATATTGACGGAGTCCAGCTAGCAGGCTTCACCGTGTATCATTGTTGGAGTCCAGCTAGCAGGCTTCACCGTGTATCATTGTTGGAGTCCAGCTAGCAGGCTTCACCATGTATCATTGTTGGAGTTAATTCTAGCAGGCTTCACCGTGTATCATTGTTGGAGTTAATTCTAGCAGGCTTCACCGTGTATCATTGTTGGAGTTCAGCTAGCAAGCTTCACCGTGTATCATTGTTGGAGTCCAGCTAGCAGGCTTCACTTTGTATCATTGTTGGAGTCCAGCTAGCAGGCTTCATCGTGTATCATTGTTGGAGTTAATTCTAGCAGGCTTCACCGTGTATCATTGTTGGAGTTCAGCTAGCAGGCTTCACCGTGTATCATTGTTGGAGTCCAGCTAGCAGGCTTCACCATGTATCATTGTTGGAGTCCAGCTAGCAGGCTTCACCTGTATCTGTTGGAGTCAGCTAGCAGGCTTCACCTTGTATCATTGTTGGAGTTCAGCTAGCAGGCTTCACCTTGTATTATTGTTGGAGGATTTCGGAGTTGTTGCGATTATCATAAGGTGAATGAGGTCAGTGTACCGGATGCTTACCAGCTTCCACATATGGACGACATAGTGGACTTCATGAGTATGGCCCATTTGTTTCTAAATTTGATACCCTTAAAGGATACTACTAGGTACTTTTAACTGATAAAGCGAAGAAGATTTCTTTCTTCATAATTCAAGAAGGTCACTATCAGTACATTGTGACCCCCTTCGATCCATCAGGCTATTAAAAGACTTGAAGGCACGGCGGCCTAGTTGGACGATATTGATGTAATTTCTGAAAAGTGGGATCAGTATGTGTCCAGTCTCAAAGATCTTTTAGAGAGGTTCAAAACATTCAAGTTAACTCTTAATCTTAGTATGTCGTCTTTTGGCAAATCTACCATAACTTTCCTAGTCCATGAAATAGGTAATGGTAAAATGGCACCTAAATTTGCCACAACCTTGGACATTAAAAAAAACCATGTTTCCTAGGATAAGAAAGTTTTTCAAAGATTTTTAGGAATGATAGTGTTTTATAGAAGGTTCTGCAGAAATTTTCCAGAAGTAACTCCCCTGACATCACTAGTAATAGTTAGGTTTAACTAGTCCTCTTGTTGTCAAGAGGGTTTTGACCGTACCAAGCGTCTGGTACGTGCTACTCCCATATTGTTATCTTTAGAACGTACAAAGATTATACAAAGTGGAGAGGATGCAGTGTTACTTCAAGTATCTGGTGAAGGAGTTCTTCATCCAGTGGCCTACTTCTCGAGCAAGTTTAAAGCCTATCAGCAGGCTTACTGCACGACCGAGACAGACAGTCCTCGATGACGCACTGCCTCTCTTGGGTTATCCTGGATGGATAACCCTTCGGGATTGAAAATTCGATCGAAATCTTAGCTTATCTTAAGCACTTGCACTGGTTCTACCTCTGGAGCACTTGCACTGGTTCTACCTCTGGAGCACTTGCACTGGTTCTACCTCTGGAACACTTGCACTGGTTCTACCTCTGCAGCACTTGCACTGGTTCTGCCTCTGCAGCACTTGCACTGGTTCTACCTCTGGAACACTTGCACTGGTTCTACCTCTGCAGCACTTGCACTGGTTCTACCTCTGGAACACTTGCACTGGTTCTACCTCTGCAGCACTTGCACTGGTTCTACCTCTGGAACACTTGCACTGGTTCTGCCTCTGGAGCACTTGCACTGGTTCTACCTCTGGAGCACTTGCACTGGTTCTACCTCTGCAGCACTTGCACTGGTTCTACCTCTGGAACACTTGCACTGGTTCTACCTCTGCAGCACTTGCACTGGTTCTACCTCTGGAACACTTGCACTGGTTCTGCCTCTGGAGCACTTGCACTGATTCTACCTCTGGAAGACTTGCACTGGTTCTACCTCTGGAACACTTGCGCTGGTTCTACCTCTGGAACACTTGCACTGGTTCTACCTCTGGAACACTTTCACGTGTCTGTGTCCTCAACACCACACGTGGTTCACGTCAGTAATAACCACTAACCACTGACTTACCTCAACTCCATGAGAAACAAAAACACCTGTCTCATGGGCTGGGTTTTGCTCCTGCAACCATGCGTCTCCATCCAGTATATTGCCAGAATTGAAAATGTAATCGAGGAGTCTCTCTCCTAAGCTTGATTCTTATTAGGATGTATTTTTGTGTTTGGAAAAAAACGAGTAGATAATTTAAGTAAAAACTGGCCACTATGATTTTTTTTTTGTGAGGAGACACATTGCTCCTGTACACAAGTGTCTTGCACCTCCTGTCTGTTTTCTCATTGTAAGGTTTATGTTTGACATTAAAGCCTTCCTTTGGGTTGAGCACTGCCTACTGATCTAGATGGTTGAGAATAATGGAGGTTCCATTAGTATTTATGCCATGGTGGTACACTACACACTGAGGGATATGTTTGGATGTAGCGGGGTGGCATGCAAATAGTTCGTTACATTTAATCGACGAATGCCACACTCCCATATAGGCATGCCCTGCCGACCAGCGAACCAGCAATTAAGAGTGGAGTATAGCAGGGGATGCCCCACCGTTAAGTTAAACCGATTGGTTCAACGCAACCAGTCACCAGAAGGTGCGTCAGTTCTTTGCAGCGATGTCTGGGACCTGTATGTCAACATAGGTACTCTTACCTACAAAGTCTGGCCAAGCACAGTTGTAACCGTGACTCTTGTTTGGCCTTTCTAAGACTTCATGACTTTGCAATTGGTGAGTTAATTTCCAGTAGTTATTTGTCGGACTAGGCTTGCAGCCTGTCCAGGTCTCTTTGTAGTCTTTCCTGATCCTCTTCCCCTTATATTTTCCTCATAAATTTCACGTCGTCTGCGAACAAGGACACTTCTGAATTTACCCCTTCCGTCATGTCATTCACTATTATGCAGGATTTTGCACTGTTACAATAATGTTTATAAAAAAATTTAAGAGTATTAATAAGGTTCATAGTGTCAGTGGGCGGGCTTTGTTCTGAAATCGAACGTGTATTGGACAGTTGACTGGTATGAGAGAGATATGTGGGAGTGAGTCAGTGTGGCAGTAGGTACAGTACCAGGTGTGGAGAAGTTAGGCTGAGTGTTGTGGTGTTTTCGTGATTTTAGACCGTAGGATTTTTTTTTTTTTTTTTTTTTTTGGGGGGGGGGGAGATTTTGGTACTCTTACAGAATGAGAATGACCCTGTTGAAGATTTGGAGAGTACAGAAATAATACTTTTTTTTTGTCTTCAGTTTAAATGCTGGCAGAAGGGAAAGGGAGTCAGAGAGTCCCTCTGTTTGCATATGTTTTAATTTTAAACAACTAGTAGCAGTGTACTAGTGAGTCTTGGTAGCATTATTTAATAATTTGAAAGTCGCCTAAATCTGAGTATCTGGTAAAGGCGTTCTGGTGTTTAGTAAGTTTTTGTAATGGTGTGTGTTGTATGATTAAGGTTATTAATAATATATTAAATTTTAATATATGTTAGTATATAAGTCCTTCCTGGTAATCAACTTAGGGTGGCCTGTGGCCACCTTGTGAAGCTGTCGCTTCGCAAGGTGAGTGTCAGGGTTCGATTCCTGGCGAGGGTTGAAACATTGGGCGTGTTTCCTTACACCTGTTGTCTATATTCACCCATCAGTATAAAATAGGTACCTGGGTGTTAGTGGACTGGTGTGGGTCGCATCCTGGAACAAAATTGACCTAATTTGATGTATACCTTGTACATGAACTTGTAGAAACAAAGATATTATATTATATATTATGTTACATAAGGTTAAGCAAGGTTTTTTAACACCGGTTTATTAGCACTGTTGGTTTCTTTTGTTTAATATTTTAAATGCTCTCGGCACCAGCATATTTATTTATGTTACATACACTTAAAAAACAGCATCATCCCTAGGACTGACCCTTGTGGAACCTCACTCGACAAATTCGCCCGATCTGATCCCCGCCATGTACCATCGCTCCTTGTTTCCTTCCTGTTAGGTATTCCCTGATCCATCGCAGTGCTTTTCCAGCTATTTCTGCCAGTTACTCTAGCTTTCGTACCAGTCTCTCATGTCTTATTGTGTCGAAACTCTTCTTATGCTAACAGAAAAGGTGCTAATCTACCTATTTCTCTCGCTCTCGTCTTCTGTTACGTTTCGTAGAACTACGGGAGTTTTGTTAAGCAAGAATTTCTGTTTCTGAATCCATGTGGTTGTCATGAATGAATCCACTCTTTTCTAGGGCTTCACCACTCTTCTGATAATCTTCTCTGTGATTTTTCATACTAAACATGTCAGTGACACTGGTCTGTAGTTTAATGCTGCGTGTCTGTCTCCTTAAAAACTTGGAACTATATTTGTTGCTTCCACACCTCATACAGTTGCCCTGATTCGAAAGATTTGTTGAAGATTGTTGTTAATGGGACACAACGCCTCTGCTCCTTCTCTCAGGACCCACGGAGAGATTTTATTTGGACCCTCCGCTTTCGAGGTATTTAGTTTACATAGCAGTTTCTTCACGTACTTCTTTGTTGAGTGTAGTGTCTAGCACTTGGTGCAATCTGTCGCCTCAGTTTGCTAGAAGCCTTTCTGTTTTCTCTAAGAATATTCTTTACATACTATACTTCCTAGTCATTCCTTGTAATCTCCCCTCCTTCCTTCCTCAACCTAATTCCCTGAAAATCAATCTGAGCATACCGAAGCTGTTTAACTGAAAAAAATATTTAACCTACCTATTGCTTCAGGAATATGCAGGTCTCCCCACCAGACAAAACCAGCCAAAATAAATGCCAGAGTCATCATCTTCGTCGCATCTCTGGAAAGTAAAGGATTATTAATAGAACACTATACATTTAAACCGGAATCAATATATATGCTGTAAACATCAGGTGCCCAGTACCACTAGACATGGGCAATGCTTGTGAAGACTGATATTCCAAAGAGGAGTAAAATTAAATTAGTTCTGAGCTTCCCAGAACTACGTATGTGCTCGTAACAGGGGTGACATGTCCGGTGTTACTGGGTACCTGATGTTTCTAACATAGATGACTTCATGACCGCATTTACTGGTATAAACTCCAGGAGGTATTTGTCAGACCAGGCTTGTAGCCTGTCCAGATCCAATGTAGGTTTACCTCTTGGTCGTCCGCTTGTATTCTCCTCATTAACTTCACATCGTCTGCAAACAGGGACGCCAACTTAATCAGTCTCTTCTGTCTTATCATTCACATATACCAGAAACAGCACCGGCCCCTTGTGGAACTGCACTCATCATAAGCGCCCAGTCTGGCACCTCGTCACATACCATTACTTGTTGTTTCCTTCCATATGTCATCCTTTTGGCTTCCTGAAGGCCGTGAATAAAAACTGACTTCTCCCTCTCATCTTTCCACTGCATTTTACGGTGCCCCGTGGCCTGGTGGCAAAAGCTCTCGCTTCAGTTCGATTCCCAGGGAGGGTGAAAACATTGGGCGTGTTTCCTTACACCTGTTGTCTATGTTCATCTATCAGTAAAATGAGTACCTGGGTGTTAGTCGACTAGTATGAGTTGCATCCCGAAATGCCCTGCAAAACAAGTGGCTGTATATGTAGTAGTATGTCACTGATGTCAGCTATGGTCTGTATACCTTGTACATGTACTTGTAGAAATAAAGATATTATATCTTTATTATTATTATTCTCTCCAGACCTCTGGGTCTGATTTAGGCATCACTATAACCGCTTCCATTATCATTTCCTGGATCTCCCAGTGCCGAATAACGCTTCTGCAGGGAGATTATCATCCCTACAGTCCTTTCACTGATGACAACTTCTGCACCCAACGGCATGCTACCTTCAATCCTCGACATTTCCTGGACCTCCTGGTGGCCTGATAGGGCCTCTACATAGGACTTAACGCTTTTCTTTCCTTTAGTGCAGTCACTGGATATTGGTGTACTTGTTCCGGATGTCATGCCCCTTATGTTCAATGGCTCTATTTCCTGAGCCATCATTTTCACTTCCTCTTCTATGCTCTGTGTCTTGCCCTATGCATGTCCCAATTCTTGCTCTCTGCATCCATACTCTCATTAATTTTGTGTGTGTGTACTTGCCTTTTTGTATTTGTTCTTGCAGGGGCCGATTCACCCGATTCACAGCTCCTAAACTCCACTTCTTTACTGGCTGTTACTAGATCCACTCAGTCCCTGCTTCATAAGCTTTATCATACCTCTTCTTACATCTATGTATGGATCGTGCCTCCCCTACTTCACTGTCAATTTTGTTTTGCTTACTGACAACTCTGTGACTGAAGAAATACTTCTAAATATCGTGTGACTCATCTGAGCTTTCAACTTCAAGTTATGACCTCTTCTTGCTGTATCTTATCTCTGAAACATGATGTCCCTATCCACCTTGTCAATTCCACTAAACATTTTTTATGTTGTCATCATGTGCCCACTATCCCTCCTCTCCTCAAGTGTAGTCAGGTTGATTTCCCTAACCTCTCCTCGTAGGAGATAGTTCCACACAAGAGATTAGTACAAAAGCTAAAGGAGCAGGTAGGAATAACAGGAAAGTCACTGCAAGGGATCGGAGAATACCTGACAGGAAAGAAACGAGTGTGTATGCATGTGTACTCAACAATATTTTGTTACAAATGTCGAGTCACAGCTCCTACTGTGTGTGTGTGTGTGTGTGTGTGTGTGTGTGTGTGTGTGTGTGTGTGTGTGTGTGTGTGTTTGTGTTTGTGTACTCACCTAATTGTTGTTGAATGTGTCAAGTGTGTGTGTATGATTTTGTACGCACCTTATTGAACTCACCTAATTGTGGTTGCAGGGGTCGATACTCACCTCCTGGCCCTGTCTCTTCACTGATCGCTACTAGGTCCCCTCTCTCTCTCTCTCTCTGCTTCCAGAGGTTTGTCATACCTCGTCTTAAAGCTATGTATGGTTCCTGCCTCCACTACATCACTTGTTAGGCTATTGCACTTCCTAACGACTCTATGACTGAAGAAATACTTCCTAACTTCCCTCTGACTCGTCTGAGTCTTCAGCTTCCAATTGTGACCCCTTGTTTCTGTGTCCCCTCTCTGGAACATCCTGTCTCTGTCTACCTTATCTATTCCACGCAGTATTTTATATGTCGTTATCATGTCACCCCTGACCCGCTTGTCCTTCAATGTCGTCAGTCCGATTTCCCTCAACCTTTCTTCCTAGGACATTCCCCTGAGCTCCGGAACTAGCCTTGTTGCAAACCTTTGCACTTTCTCTAATTTCTTGACGTGTTTGACCAGGTGTGGGTTCCAAACTGGTGCTGCACACTCCAGTATGGGCCTGATGTACACAGTGTACAGTGTCTTGAACGATTCCTTACTAAGGTATCGGAACGCTATTCTCAGGTTTGCCAGGCGCCCGTATGCTGCAGCAGTTATCTGGTTGATGTGTGCCTCCGGAGACATGCTCGGTGTTATGGTCACCCCAAGATCTTTCTCCTTGAGCGAGGTTTGCACTCCTTGGCCATCTAGTCTATACTCTGTCTGCAGTCTTCTTTGCCCTTCTCCGATCTTCACGACTTTGCATTTGGCAGGGTTGAATTCAAGAAGCCAGTTGCTGGACCACGTGTCCAGCCTGCCCAGGCCTCTTTGAAGTCCTGCCTGGTCCTCATCTGATTTAATTCTCCTCAATAACTTCACATCATCTGTGAACAGTGACACCTCTAAGTCTATCCCTTCCATCATGTCTTTCACATATACCAAAAATAGCACTGGTCCTAGGACCGACCCCTGTGGGACCCCGCTCGTCACAGGTGCCCACTATGATACCTCATCCCATACCATGACTCGTTGTTGCCTCCCTGTCAGATATTCTCTGATCCACTGCAGTACCCTTCCTGTTACACGCATCTGATTCTCTAGTTTCTGCACTAGTCACTTGTGAGGAACTGTGTCGAAGGCCTTCTTGCAGTCCAAGAAAATGCAATCAACCCATCCCTCTCTCTCGTGTCGCACTTCTGTAACTTTGTCATAGAACTCCAGTAGGTTTGTGACACAGGATTTGTCTTCCATAAATCCGTGCGGGTTATCGTTTATAATCTTGTTCCGTTCCAGGTGCTCCACCACTCTCCTCCTGATAATCTCCATGACTTTGCATAATTGCACACACAGTATATCTGCTCCTCCCCTGAGGACCCACGCGGAGATGTTGTCCGGTCCAATTGCCTTTCAGGTATCAAGGTCACTTAGCAGTTTCTTCACCTCCTCCTCAGTTGTGTGCATATCGTCCAGCACCTGTTGGTCTATTCCCTGTTGGTGTCCTCCTCTGTCCTGTCTTCCCAGAGTCCTTCCTGTCTCCACTGTGAATACTTCCTTAAATCTCCTGTTGAGCTCCTCGCATACCACTTGATCGTTTCTTTTGAGTTCCCAACCTTCTTTCCTTAGCTTGATCACCTGGTCTTTGACTGTTGTCTTTCTCCTAATGTGGCTAAACAGCAGTTTCGGGCCAGACTTGGCTTTTGATGCTATGTCATTTTCATACTGTCGCTAGGCCTCCCTCCTTATCTGTACATATTCGTTTCTGGCTCTTCGACTGATCTCCTCGTTTTCCTGGGTCCTTTGCCTTCTATACATCTTCCATTCTCTAATGCACTTAGTTTTTGCCTCCCTGCACCTTTGGGTAAACCAAGGGCTCGCTTTGCTCTTCCCATTGTTTCTGTTGCCCTTGGGAACAAACCTTTAATCTGTCTCCTTGCATTTTGTTGTTACATACTACATCATTTCATTTACTGTCTTTCCTACCATTTCTCTGTCCCACTGCACCTCCCCCATGAAGTTCCTCATACCTGTGTAGTCCCCCCTTTTATAGTTTGGCTTTTCCCAATCGACTCCTGTTACCCTCTCCACCTGTAACTCTACTATGTAATCAAAACTCAGAACTACGTGGTCACTAGCTCCGAGGAGCCTCTCATATGTGATGTCATCAATGTCTGAGCTACTCAGGGTGAACACAAGATCCAGTCTTCCTGGTTCATCCTCCCCTCTCTCTCTGGTAGTGTCCCTGATGTGTTAATGCATGAGGTTTTCCAGTACCAGATCCATCATCTTGGCTCTCCATGTTTTGGGTTCCCTGTGAAGGCTTACTCAGCCCTGTAACAACTTTAGTCAGTATTACCAAGGCTGGCTCCTCCTCAGGAAAATTAATGAATAGAAAAAGAAATAATAACAGACAATGATAAACACTTTATTATTTAGAAACGGAAAATGTAAAACAATAAAACATGAATGGGTATCCTAATTGAAAGAAAAATGAAAAATTAAATGAAAAAAATGACATTTGAACTCAATGCTAAGATATATAGTGATACTGGGGCGTCTGGTGTTGGTGACACTGCGTGGTGTTGAAATCGTAGCCGTTGCTGATGTGGGGGGGGGGGGATCGCAGGTGTTGGTGACAACCACCGGCTCGTTCTTCACAGAGTATAGCCGTGAATAATTACTTCAGATGACAGGAAAACAGCTTCGTTACCACTGCTATGATGAGGGGTTAGGTCCTGCGTTGGCGTACATAACACGTAAGTAGATTAAACATGGGACGTCTCAGGACGTTAGTCCGTCTCCTTCTATTCTTCTTGTTGGTTGGCAGGTGACCCACTCTGTCATTCCAAGCTGTAAAGAGAGACAGGTTACCCACTGCTTAAGAAATCACTCTCCATGATAAGTACAATACCTAAAAGATGTGGTGATTATTAAAACATTTAACCGATCAAGACTGAAAGGACTAAGTTAATTATTGGTCAAAAGTGAAGCTTTCAACCAATAAGTCCACTAA